TGTAGAAACAAACAAACAAACAAAATATGTTCTCCTTCATTTCTGTCAACCACACGTTTCCAGCTATCATGGTTGCTAGGCAACCTGGGCAGCGCGACGGAGGCTAGACCGTCCCATTTCACAAGCCTCACACTTCCGGCCTTAGCAGCCTTTGAGTACGCGGCCCTTGTGGACCGTTGAGGCTGCGTACTTTAAGGCTGCAGACCCTGAATTGGGATACAGCCTAGGATACACTCACATGAGACACAGACCTTCAAAGTAAAACAGGAAGTATAACACTGAGGCGCGAACTTGACATGGTGGAGACAGAACAACTAAGAAACAGAGACATAACCATAAGGCAGAGAACTCTAAGAACCAAAAGACTAGAGATGATAAATAATACACAGAGTGAAATCCTGGAACACAAGAAACTAGACTGAAGGGAGCAACAAAAGACCAACTATGAGAACATAATTCACAATACAGAGTGACAAAAAACACAGGAAACTCAAAACATGCCAAGACACAGACCAAGAAACACGGACTTTACACAGAACAGAGGGGGCACAGAGAAACATGAGGGGCAAGGGATCAAAACTAGAAACCATAGAATAAATCACACGAGAACTCGACAAAATACTAAGAAAACTCACAAAGAACTAAAAACGCTGGGTCAGGAGACCCAGGACCCTGACAAAATGTTATTATTTGAAATGGAGTTACTTGGGTCTCACAAATTAAAAATATACATATATTCTATTTTGACAGGACAACCTACTGATATTTTTGTTTTAGCAGTACAGCGTAGTTCAAAAGAGCATTTTTTGAAGAAAATATCTTGTGTAGTATTTAATATTTGAAGTTAAAATTTCACAGTAGTCGTTATACGTGCCCAAACTTTGTACCATAACATTTTTATGAAAATCATGGATGGTTGAGCAGAAGTCCTGTGTTGATTTCAAACAGAATGACCCATGAGCTGGGTTTGACTTTACTAACTTTTTGAAGTTACTTTTTAACAAGCAGCTAGTAGTTTGTGTAGTACAAGAAAAACTACCCATTAGCTTAAGAAATTCCCGAGCTGTCCTTAAAGTAACACCAAAGCTGAGTCCGCTCCCTAGACCTCAAAGAAAGGCTGCAGCTTGGCAGAAATCCCACAGAAGGAAACAGAGGCAGTCAGGACAAAGACAAGCTATGAAAGAGAGAAAGCAAGAGAAGTGCAGTTTGGTGTATAAACAAAATGGAGAGTGAAAATAAAATGCTCAGTGTATCATGGTAAGCCACCAACAACCCAGTTGCAGCATACCTAAGGGATGGTTTAGGGTCATCTGATACAGCCCCAACGGGAAAGTATTGACGAGTAATGTTAAAAATAGAGATAGTGTCTGAATTTAAATAGTGTTATGAATTAAAGAAAAAAAGAATGCTTGGACACTGCTATCATAATGGACAGGTTTTTGACAGGGCTCCCACAACTATGTCTCCAAACGAACTTCCTTCCAAGCCAAAGACTAGAAAATATGGTGAAGCATATCTTCCCTTTGGCCTCACCTGCACAAGTGCCAAGGTAGGTCTCCCCGGCAGAATTAGTTTCCCCTGCGTCGGGAGCACCCCTGGGCTCTCCAAATCACGGACAAACAGAATCCCACATTCTGGATTTTTAGTTCACAAAAACTTCTTATAATGACTTACTATCCCTGACATTTTGACACTTTATACAGTAAAGTTACAGTGGAACACAAATAATGACAGGCTGATCCTGCCACAATTTGTTCCCCCTGTCCAAATCATGGACAAGATTTTCTTGTAAAATAAAGGGGGGCCTAGCAAAAGAAAGTTTGGGAACCACTGATGTAACCGCAGTAATCAGTCTGAAGGAGTCCTGACAGTATCTTGCACAGATTTCTTTCTGCTGCTGATGGATTTGCCTCTAAAAGTCAGACAGACTTTTTTTTCTTCTCTAAACAAACACTATGACAGTGTGCAATGTGCAGACAAGTCTGTCATTCTTTACAAAAGCAGGCTCTGAGGACACAAATTAGTTGTTGTTGGTGATGTTCCTGTGTGTGTCAATCGGTCTGTTCTTGGTGTATTTTAGAGTAAAAGTGTCAGATTATTGCACAATAGTGTTTGGACTTGAATTCAAACAATGTCTCCTTGATTTCACACAAACTGCAGACTGAGATTACTCTGTCATGTCTAATATGTTTGTGATCAGTAATGATATACTATTAGATGTTATGATACCCCTAATCCAAGAAATAATGATTAGGAAAAAGTGAAACATGTTTAAAACTAGACACACAGCATTAGGTTTGGGTATTATTAACTGTTTTCCAGTAAGTACAGTTACGTTTCTGAAAATACTGTTTTAAATTCAACACGTGGAAACTCACAATTCAAAACAGAAGTGTTGTTTGTGTTAAACTGTTTTACCCAGCGTCCTCTGCAGGTCTGAGACTGAAGTGCAGCTGGTTCTCAGAGGGATGACCTGCCAGGCTGTACGTCAGCTTCACACAGCCCTCTGCTGCCTCTGAGCTCTGACACAGAATTACAGTGTTAGAAGTCACGTTAATCACTGTCATCAAATACCTAAACAAAAACATGAGAGGCTGCTGCTCCTACCTGTCCAGTGAGCTGGGCATAAATCAGTGACCTCTGACCCTGGAAAAGTGTTGTGATTGGTGGAGAGAGGACAGTGACAGACACTTCCTTTGGTAAATCCCATGTGACTGAGATGTCGACCACAGCTGGCTGCAGAGCAAATCGCAGCGACTGCATCACCTGAAAAATAATGAAAACTTTCCAAATATACACAAACAGCTGGAACAGACATTTCACTCACTGCAGGTCTGATCTCAAATATGTATCTGCTGCTGCTGCAATGTTTAACTTGACTTATTATTAATGTGTGTGTATATATATAAAAAAAACATGTTTGAACATACATACATGCACATAAACAGACACATAATCAACCATACATTCAGACATTTATTCCAACATGCAAACTATGGACCAAAATACAGGGGAAAGATCAAGGGTAAGGTAACCAATGAATGCTTTCTCTCTTTCATAGTGTTACGTTCCCCTGAGGGGTCTAGGCGGTGAGGGGGAAGTAACAAAAAGTGTCCAGGTCAGAAAAAGGAGTCAGGGAGGCAAAAGGGTTCAATTAAAGAGTTTTATTAAAGTAGCTCAACTAAAAGAAGAAAACAAACAAAACTCAGGCGTTGGTCGATAAAGTAAAACGTAAGTCAAAAAGAAAGAGCAGCTCACTAGCTGAAAATGACCAAAAACACACACAGCTCACAAGCTGTAACCACACTACTGGCACTCTGGCCCAGAGCTCACCTTTCCCTGGGCTTAAATCTCCTTAACTACTGACGAGAGTCAGCTGCACAAAAGGGAAAGGTGGCACCTCAGGCAGAAGGGGTAGTGGGACACGCCCACACAGGCACCTTCAGGAGGAGGCCCTGCTAGGGCCGTAACACATAGCTTGTCTTTCTCCTGAGTCCCTCCGTTTCCGATCCCGGTCCCAGTGTCGCCACCTCCAGCTGATGAAAGGGAGAGATGCTTCCGTTGCAGAGAAATTTTCCAAATCACTTTATGGCGACCTGTCCAATTTGGCCAAAAGACTGTGCTCACTGGTAAATTCGGGCATACGGGTGGGCGAATCCCTCACTTCCACTGAATCTCTGCTTTTCCTTCTGGTCATCCTCCGTCTCAACTAGATCACTAGGTCACTTCAAGCCTCAGCAGATTCAGGAGCTGAGCAGAACCTAATTGATATTAGGTTAGCTAACGAGTTACATCTCCCTTTGATCCTGTTAAATCCTCCCATCCCTGCTACAGCCCTTAATAACCAATTTTTCACTACCATTACCCACCAGACCAAAGCCATCAGTATTATTATCTGAGGCAATAACCAGACCCAGGAGAGGGTTCCTTTACTCTGGGGTGGAGACAAGGAGGCCACTTCCAGTCCTGCAGCAGCAGGGAAGTTCTCCTGTTCTCCTGGCATCAGCAGTTTGTGACGACCCCATGTGTCACTCTGCCCATTCATATGTGGTGTTGATTCGTGCTGTTCAAAAGTGAATTTAAAACATGGGAGGGGCATGGTGCCAATGACCTGCCCCTGTTCACCTGCCAGACAAAAGCCAGTGCCAGCATGCCCCCCCCCCCAAAGAACCCTCAATGTCTACGTGTATTTAAAATTGAGAGGTGGGCACCGGTACTAGAAGTGAGGCTGAACAAACACACTGCCTTCTTTGAATCGCCATTTCAAAATTAAAACACTTATTCACAACTGCTCCCATTCTCATCCACCCCGACCACTCAAAGTTGTGTATTGTAGAAGTGGAAGCATCAGACTCTGGTGTTGGAGCAGTCCTCTCACAGTACTCAGGTTCTCAAGGCAAACTACAAGCCTGTGCCTTCTTTTCTCGCAGTCTTTCCCCAGATATTATGATGTAGATGACCGTGAGTTGTTGACTGTAAAATTGGGCCTAGAAGAATGGAGACACTTACAAGGGGGGCAGAGCATCCTTTTGTGATCTGGATAATCATAAGAACTTAATCTATTTAAGGACAGCCAAGAGACTGAGAGCCCATCAGGCTCGCTGGTCACTATTTTACGCATGTTTTAACGTCGCTGTTTCCTACAATCATATCCCTGCTTCCTCAGGCAAAACTGTAATAATCACCATAGTTTTTTTTAAGTTAGCCCACCGTATAGCCTTGAAAAAAAACTGTCTTCAGTTGCTGAGACAGCTAAATTGTTAGCAGATCATGTTTTCCGACTCCATGGTATTCCGGTGGAGATCATGTCTGATCAAGGCCCTTGGTTTACTTCACAGGTGTGGAGGTCATTTTGTTCAGCATTAGGAGGCCGGGTCAGTTTCAGCTCTGGATATCATAGCCAGACCAGCAGCCAAACAGAGCAGATGAAACAGGAGCTGGAGGCTACACTTTGCTGTCTCATGTTCAACAACCCTTCAACCTGGTCATCATATCTCCTCTGAGTGGAGTATGCACACAACTCTCACACTTCATCCGTTACTGGTTTCTCTCTCTTTTGAAATCTCCTTAGGATACCAACCACTTTGTTCCCAGAAACAGAGATAGAACTGGCAGTTCCCTCAGCGCAGCAGCGGCGATGTCAACGTGTCTGGACACAGGCCAGAGAGACATTAGTCTGGAAAGATGAACGCTAGCGCCGTTAAGCAGACCACCACAGACCACGCATTCCCAGGTAGCTACTTGGGCAGAAGGTATGGCTTGCTGCAAAAGATATTTCCCTAAAGTCACTGTTGCATTCACCCATACAAGGTGGGGCTCCATCATTAGCCCCAAGGTAGTTAAACTGAAGCTACCAGCATCTTGATGCATAATCAATCATCCAGGTAAGTAAATCCCCAAAAGTTGATTCTGTTCATCTGGATGTAGCGTTTTCAGTGGGAGAAATGTTTTGTCACTCAACTGACTTCTTCAGTCTCAGCTGACTGCAGGTTTCCCCAATCTTATAAACAGAACATTTGCATTATGACTGAAACCAGCCCAGTGAAGGAACAATGGGCTGGGAGGTCAGTTCCTTGATCATTAATATGCAAACACTCATGAACATTGATCAACAACCACTGATCAATGGCCATGAGCACCATTCACAGAGAGTTGGGGAATGGCTGCAATCACAGCATTGTAAGATGGCAAAAGATGTACCCTTAGGCAATGTTCCCTCTGTGCAATCGCGCACTGCTGGCACAGGCTCCGCGCACAGAGAATCTGCGTTGCACACAAAAAAAAATCTATCCTGAATTGAAATAAAAATAAATACGTTAACAATTCATTCTGTTTTGCAGAGTGAGTCAGTAAGTGACCGGTGACTGGCTGCTCCAGCCAATGATGCGATTCACATTCGTATATACGCAGCTAATCAACATCGTTGCCAGGCTATGACAACGTTCTTATGTGCCGACACCAGTGTTTTAGCTAGCAAAGCAGCGTGGCTGATGTGCAGGATCTTGGATGTCCGCCGGCCTGGTCGTGGCTGTCAGTCTTGGGTAGACTGGGAAGGGTACTGCACCTCCGAGTAAAAAGACTGCATGTGTGAAATAATGTCAAGGAGATCTGTCGAGAAAATTAGTTTAAACTCAGAGAAGAGAACTGATCAAGAGACTTGGTCCAGTTGAAGACGTGCAGACTTTTTAAGCAGTCACTAGAATACATGGCAGGGAAAACAGGTTGAGGTGGATTGAGGAATCTGCTGATGGTGTCAAACAAAAACCTTTGATTGGATTTATTACCATTAATCAAAACAGCAGAATAAGATTGTGTCTTTTATGAGTTGGTTAAGTATGTTTAGTAAGACCTTCATATGGTGTCATTATCCTCCTTCATAATTGTGTTTAATGTCTTACTTTTGGTTGCATCCTGTCAGTCCCTGTGATGAACTGAGCGTGACCTCCTCCTTC